TATAGGGTTGTAACACAGGACATGATGTATTGTGGTAAGTAAATGGATTTTTTCCGGATCAGCTGTTTTAATCTATCGTTAAGGATTGTAATACTTACCATGCAGTCACATTTATATCATTTTATTGTATAAGTGTGTACAAGCGTTTGATAACTGATAAATAAGATGTATACATGCAGGACCAGAGGCATGTAATGCCACATGTCTATGATGGTGCTAACACAACACATTGCATATACTTCATCCAAAATTTAGTCTTGTCTGACCTCAGCGGAGCTTAGTTTAAACAGTAATATATTTTTTTTAAGTCACAAATGACAAATACACAACAGACCTATAGGGGTTAGGAATCAAGAAAAACTGGCTGTTGTCTGTTCTATGGTCGGGTTGTTGTCTCTTTGACACATTCCCCATTTCCATTCTCAATTTTATTATATAAATCCGTCTCCCTCAAGTGGGATTTGAGCCAATGCTTCTGTGAGATCGTAGCAACACTGCCTGTATTGTGTCCACCACCCAAGACCACTCGACCAACTATCCTCGTATAAAGTATATTACAACTAGTAGATTAACGAAATCTATATTTTTTAAACATAGCCTAGTTGGCCGATTGATGGTTATCGGATCGTCAGAATATACGGATACTGCACAAACAGGGGAAAATATATAAGTGTACAGATTTGCGCAACGATACTTATATCTTAAATAAAATACACAATAAAGTGAAATAATTTTGTATTGCGGAAAGACAGTTATTTCGGCACAACAAAAGGCCATCATCCGTGTCGATCTTTTATCAAATGAAATACAGCAATCGTAAAATTCTTTACTTTGTAATTTACAGTTTAACAGTACTCATATTCATATAGATATGTACAATCCTTACTCTTGAACTTCACAGAACAAACACAATTAAAAAAACACTGAATTAGTTATATTTGGCTTTACATTAAGTTCATATATGCATATATAAAAAAATTGATAATGAAAGTGGGGAATTAAGGCGTCAAAGAGACAACAACTCGACCAAAGAGCAGAAAACAGCCCAAGGCCACCAATGGGTCTTCAACACAGCGAGAAAATACCCCACCCGGAGGCGGGCTTCAGCTGGCACCTAAACAATTATGTATACTAGTTCAGCTAATGAACGTAACACTAAACTCCGAAACATATAAATGAACCAAAATTTATAAAAAAAACATACAAGACTAAAAAGGCCAGAGGTGCCTGACTTAGGACAGGTGCAACAATGCGGCGGGTTTTATGTATGTATATGTTAATTAATGTACATGTGTAAAATATGAGATTTTGAAAGAAAAACGAAAAGTCACTGGAGCTTTAAATTAGTTGGTAAAATCCGTGGAATTGTTAAGAATTTGACCAAAGTACTGACCATAATGTTGCTAGGGATTTTGTAAAATCTTTGAAAACCATATGTATGTCTTAAATATATAAGAAATGTTTTTTTTTCCTTTATAGAATAACATTTTTGAATAATCTAAACAGACATTACTGTTTTCTTTAATACACTGATTTTGAATAAAGGCATGTTTACAGTTACAATGATTACAAATACATGTACTTATTTCCTTATTTGTTACAGATATAGTTTGAATGACGACTACTGTATGCGCTGCATACGTTATGTCCAGGTCTATTTTGTTCACAGTTTTTTTTCTCTAAACCAATCATATACTTTACAGGTTTTGATAAACCTTGGCAAACACATTTGGCAGATATTTTAATTACTTGACAAAAAGACATGACTCGTACAATTTTATTTAGGGGCCAGCTGAGGACCACCTCCGGGTGCGGGATTTTCTCGCTGCATTGAAGACCCATTGGTGGCCTTCGGTTGTTGTCTGCTCTTTGGTCGGGATGTGTCTCTTTGACATATTCCTCATTTCCATTCTCAATTTTAAAATTACCAATCATAAGGAATTTACATTTTTTCTCTCACATCCCTACTTTGCGGTTCTGCATCCATACATGTTGGTATATACAAGCACATTAAATAATAAAATTCTTTTTAACCTTATCCTTATATGACTTTTGATCTAGAATGCAATTAATTATATTAGATATATCAGAGACATATATACACATATATATGTGTATATATGTCTCTGGATATATACAACTATTTGAAACGTTAACAGTATTAGGTGATTTTTCAAGCTTCCGTGCAATATAAATATCTTCATATATTACAGTATGACCTGATTGTTTATTGGTTTTGTCATATATTTGAGTTTCGGTGGAAACTAGCTGTCTTTAAGATAAGTCCAAGTCGTTGGAAAGTATACAAATTTTATTCACATTTGTAAAAACCATTACCGAATAACAATATAAAAACAAATATAATATAAAATAAAAATTCAAAGTCTGATTGACCTGCGAGTGAATTGAACCATTCAAAATATATTATAAAGTACCAAATTTTGCCTATTGTCGAAAGCAGCGATAACGGATTAAACGGTCTTTCTTTGTTCAAGTTTGTCAATAGTCGCTTTCGGCAGTATCCTTTTGTGTCAAAATATCTATATTGCGTGTGTTGCGCAATGTTTGGACATAAAAACGGATACATTTCTTTAATGACTAATGTAAATGAAAGAATTATAGTTAAGCCGAGTTTAAAACATGTAACTTTTGAATGATTTAGATCGATAAACAATCGGAATAATAATGAAAATGAATGAATCATAAAAATATACAAAATCAACCATAATAACTTTTGGAACGAAAAATTTTCTGGTCATAACAGTATCCAATTTTATCCGAAGTAAGTGACAACAGGAAAAAATTATCTAATTTATCTATTATGATCTGTCTGTTGAATTATTGAAATCTATTCTAATAGCAAGTATTTTCTTCCAAGTATCATCTCTCTTTTTTCAACTTCTTTTTCTGAAAAAAATATACTGATCTAAAACTAACATTATCAAAATGCTTGATTTTAGTTTTATTGAAACCATATTTGTTTCGTTTATATGATGTGCTTTCAACAGACATTCGGCATTCCTACCAAGACCAGAATTGCTCCTCTTCTTGTCGACTGCATGTCCTTTATTCATATGAAGCAGACTTTAGTCATGGAGATCATGATTTATTTATTAGTTGTAATTGACTTTTAACTAGCATTCAGTAACTGCAGTACACTTATTTCGGTGCTTTGTGTCTATTGTTTTTATGTTAGTTGTTTCCGTGTCTCGTACCGATCTTTTAAGTCAATTGCTACTGATCTTATGTTGTACTGTAACACCCCTGTCCCGGGTCAAAAGGGGGGGGGGGTTGTTGAGAGCTCACAATCATGTTTAACACCGCAACATTCTTTATGTGCCTGTCTCAAGTCTGGAGCCTGTAGTAGTCGTTGGTTCATGTCTGTTATATTTGTTTTCCATAAATTGTTTCGGTTATAAATTATGCCGTTAGTTTTCTCGTTTGAATTCTTTCAAGAATTTCATGTCGGGGCCTTTTGTAGCCGACTATACGGTATTGGTAGTTCTCATTGTTGAAGGCCGTACAGTTGCCTACAATTGCTTACATCCACTTCATTTTAATTGTGGTGGATAGTTGTCTAATTGGCAATCATACCACATCTCGTTATTTTTATATCCATACCATATATGAGGAGCCTCTCAAGAAGAATTGAGAAGAAGCTAGCATTATCGTTTAACTTCAAGTTCCGCCAAATAGATGCTGTTCTCTCACAAAATAATTCAAAGTTTAGTCACTATATTAAACGCATCTATCACCATCAAACTTAAAGCAAAAGATACCTGAGCCGGATATAGTTAACTTCGGTCTTCCTCAGGCTCATATCTCAGTGACTTATATCTAAAAATATAACAATGCAAGTCGTTTGAGAACAAAAGTAAACAACAAAAGAGATGATCTGAGCTATCAAACTGAGAACTTTTCATTTCTATGTAGCAACATTGAAGCCCCACTTTTACAGACATCATATTGATTTGGTTGACCGCTACGAATATCTGTGTCGCATTTCCATTATGAAATCGCCGAGATTGTTATGTACCATGATCAATGCGACGGGTTCATGTGTGGAGTAGGATCCTCTTTCCCTTCCAGAGCACCTGAGATGGCGTGCTATCGTTTCTCCAACATTTGAAATTTTGTATATAGGCACGGATTTGTATAGTATACAAATCCTTGATAAAGGTAAATAATTTCTTGTTGGAGAAGCTTGGTGTTCGGCTAAAAATGAATCGATTAATGTCTAATAAATACAAGGATTTGTAGAGTATACATATATTAAAGTAAGTAAAACTATATTTGGATTCGGCATATTTGACAAACATATTAAACATATAAGCTCTAATGAGCTTTTCACCGAATATAAAAACATATTCTATAAGAAATAAAACAAGGCATGCAGCATGCAAATAAATATAGTAATAAAAACAGCACCACCTTAACTCTAGCATACACGTGTATCTTTCTATCACTTGAAAACATATATATGAAGCACTAAGACAGGAATAATTTTTAATATTTGCAGCTAAAAATTTTCAGTAAATAATTTAAAGTAAAAACTTGTAATTATTAAAACGTAACTTGAAACAAAAAGTTTCAATTGCAATGCAAGCTGTTAATGCAGCATAAAAATGCACAAATAATGTATCTAAAATTACCTGCAGGCAGAGCAAAAACAGTCCGTTCCACTCCAGGACTGAAAAGGACTTTTAGAATTACAAGGATTTGTATAGTAATTAGAAGAAAAAATATTTTTCAGAGGCACATAAACATAATAAACGGTGATTTTATACAGCGAAAGGTTTTAAGAGAGGTCGTCAGTCCCTTTGACAATCAAGTTAAAGCTTTACACAAACTTTACCATAATATTACGATCTTAAGCAGAAAACAAACTTTTTACATTGCCTTAATTAGTAACATAATTAATTAATTAGCGATAGCTATCTGTGTATTCCTTATTTGACATTTTCCGCGAAAATAGGTAAAAAATCCAAAACGAGGTTTGTATACAGAGATCAATGGCGGACATGGGAAATTCAGGTGCCCGCATCGGAATTAAAGTTGTGCTTTTCTGTATATTAGTAATCGAAGTAGGATCCACGTTTCAGCTTCAAAATGTTAAAATGTAAGTCAATATAAAAATCACCAAAAATATTTATATAATACACAATATTTTCGAAACACAGCTTCAGCAGCCAACAAAAAAGGGGGGAGTAGATCTACACTCTCATTTAAATCTGGAATTTGAAAATACAGTCCTCTTTTATTTATATATCTTCAGTTAAAAAGCGTTCATAGTCATCTTAATTACCTCAACTTTTCAAAAAAATAATAACATTTGTTACTTTTTTGGGGGGCAATCTCGGTTTCGGATATCATGATGATAGAGGCATAGTCGCCTGAAGATTTCATAATTATAGCGAAAAAATTGGGGAATAAAATATTTCTAGTAGTATAAAAAATGGGGGAAATAAAATATTTTTAGTTAGTATTATACTAAATAATACTACCAAAAATATTTTAATTCCCCCATTTTTTCACTATAATTATGAAATCTTCAGGCGACTGTGATAGAGGGTAATTGTTAGTGTTAAACGTATGCTTTGGAACTTATAGTCACCTCTTCGAAATTATTATTGGTACAAACCTTTAGATCTGGTCAGGGTTAAACACTTTTCACTGTTGCCAGAATATGCAACATGTTGGATGTGGGCAGTATATGGAAGACGAACACTAATAACAAAGTAATATCCTCGTTTTGGGATACTGAGTCTGGAGTGGTTTCTAAAAGGCATTTTTATCAGAAAATTGCTCCGACCTTAGATTCGTTAAACATGTTAAAGGGATTAATATCCCTGTAATTCTGAGTAGACATTTAAACATTTTTTTACTGATATTTTTTAATTTTTGAAAACATAAACATGTACTTTTGTTAAAGGCTACTATTCTCCCAGAGAATACTATATGGGCCAAAGCAACTGACTATTAAATTTAAAGAAAAAATAGATATATGACATTTAGTTCCTACATGTACTCATTACCTGTGGATTGCAAAATAGTCAACTGGTATTACATGTACATTTATATAACTCAATAATGGACTTCAGCTCATACTGAAACTGTTGTAATACCATGTTATTATTTCAACCAAGATGTCATTAAATTAAATTGGATACCTGCATTTATCATGCTTTTCAATAACATATGGTCAAATTGTTGAAAGACCACCCTCCTAAATTATTGAAAACTATTATTCTGCATTGACAATGATATCTTGGTGTAATTTAGATACACCAAATCGGGCTACGCCCTCATAGTTGTATCTAATACATATAACTTTTATTTCCTGTGATGTTAAAACATTCAAAATTTACATTTACTTTGAAGTTTATCTTTTCAATATTATTTATACTTTTCATATAAATAAGAAGATGTGGTATGAGTGCCAATGAGACAACTATCCATCCAAGTCACAATGTGTAAAAACTAAACAACTATAGGTCAAAGTACGGCCTTCACTTCTCTTTTATTCACTTCCTTGCATGTTAATTTTCGTCAGACCTGGCATAGCCCATTGGTAATACTAGTTTATTAAAAAAAGATATGTGACTGTGCACATTTTTTTTATCTTGATTCTCACAGAAAAAAATAATTTCTTTGAATTAGGGTTGTTTCACACTGATACCTGGTTAATATCAACCCTTACCAAGGGTCCGGAAACAGTCATACTTGCCAGTCATGACCTAAACTGAAAGCTATTTGTCCTAAACGGCAGATTGAGATTTAGGAATAGTTTAATTTTTTTTACAGAAATAATTTCGGTCATTTCATTGAGATCGAGTTTCTTAATCGCCATTTTGCACTTGTTTTTGTTTTGTAATCCCATTCCTGTAATAAAACTGCCACTCCAGTTTAGTATGATAATCCTGAGGGCCCTCCTAATAACTATATTAATGCCTCCGGGCTAATGTTCGCAAATCACTTTTTACCTGTGTTTTTAATTCACACCCGACATTGATCACAAGCTCAGCCCTAATATCATAAAAAAAAATTAAAATTCCATGACAACTGTCTTCATCATTTAATTACTTTCCAGCTAAGACAATCGTCAATTCTGATTTAAAAACTAAAACATAATTTTGATTTACGTAGAAAAAAGTATTTTTTCAAGAATTACACATGTGCTTTATTTATATAATTACTATGTAAAAGTATATACGCATGCCTGAAATTGTCTTCAGCAGATTAGACACCTTGGCTGTTTTCTGCTCTTTGGTCGGGTTGTTGTCTCTTTGACACATTCCCCATTTCCATTCTCAATTTTACTTAATCGTAAATGCAAAATGATTTAATGTTTAATTAAATGAGTGCAACTATTATCTGTTTTTTAAAACAGTTTTAAAGGTAATAAAATTAAAAAGCCGGTGATTTCCTGTCAATTTGATAAACAAAACGAATCCAGGAAATGAATCTGGAATAACTCGTACTTTAGTATTGTCGCAAAACTTCCGGTTTTAATTTCGTTTTCAAAATAGAAAGAGAAACGTTACTGATGTCTGAGAAATTTACCATTTTGAGTCATTAAAATCATTTCAATTTTAAACTGTTGCCTTTCCTAAACTGTTCTTGAATGTTTTTTAGAAAAATGGTAAAAAAATTCAAGAAGTAAATGCGATGAAACAGTCAATACAAGTTTGTTGATGCTATGAATCTAGTGTGATTTTGACAATTTGAAAAAAGGGCACCAACTTTTAAGTCATCTCAAAATGACCAAAATTGTTTGAAAAAATGTCAGGATCCTTGACCCTTACCAAACTGAGCAATGTAAAAACAAAAATATTGTTCAACTTACAAATATAATGAGCAATTAATTAATTCTAATTAAATAAGCATCTCTTTTATCCTGGCGTCAAAGCAATAAATATGTGATTGGCCAAAGCTGTCATTATCATTGATCAACTGAATCAATTACCCGTGTAGAATATGATTTTACAAAATGTACATTATAATTGATGATACACATATTAACATTAATTTGAGCTTTATAAGTCTATAGAAAACAAGTGTTTCCATCAGAAGACATTACTAGTGTTGAAAAATTTTAATAAACTGCAATTATATGATTAACTAAAATCTGGATGTCAAACCTCTGGTACCAGATAGAAAAGGCGTTAATTTTATTTATATGGAAAGATGCATGTATGTGGGAACTGTGCTTGCAGGATTAATCAACCTTTTATTTAATTTATACTTAACACGGGGACACTTACAATGTATCATAAACAAGGTTGTAAATGTCCAGCACACTGCGTTGCTATTTATCAGTCAAGTGAGTTTCAGGACGTGTGATGACCTGTTGCGTTTTGTCACTTTTCACTTCACGTTTCCAAATCATATCAATAAGAAATACACACAGCAGATTATATGTTCAAGCAACAGGAAGTGTAGCTGTGCTGATCAAAGCATGGTCGCCAAAATTAGTGCATACCAGGGCCATTATTTTAAAATAGCCCAGGGAAAACACTGAATTGCAATTTTTCATAGACACAAAAGATGTGGCAATTCAATCCTTGTTGACTTATGATTATGAAATGAAAAATACTTGTCATGTGAATCTGGTTTTTCCAGATCTGGTACCTGGTTTAAATTTCATTGTTTTTTTTTTCAGTCATGTCGGTAGTAGAGTGTTAAAAAAATCTATTGTTAGTCTTATTAGTTAATACATTTGAATAATATTGTTGATTTTCCAGTTAGAAAAAAATCAATAAAAGTACAAATATTTAGAAATCTATTATAGTTTGAAATGGTTGAAACCACAACACAAACAGTGATACTTTTTTGTTTGGCCTTAAATACTGTATACAGATAACTTGTTTAACAGGAAAATCTTGTATATTGGATTTATTGTTATTTTATGATGTTATGGAATATCTATAAATACATGCAATTGTATTTCATTATCCATCCAACTGTAGAGATTTTATATATGATAAAAACCTCATCAAATGTTGCATTAGAAGAAGGTTATCTAAATATTTTGCAATGATACCAGATTGAAAAAAGACATATGTAGAGTAAATATTTGAATGAGACACCCGCCCATCATACATGTAGTAACCACTAAAGACAGATCTATAATAGTAAATTATATTTACCCTGTACATGTAGATGACTGGGGTATTGATATTACCTGTTCATCTTCTGACTGACGGTAATCCACAGGATTCACCATTTAAGGGTTGTCCAATTAATATTGTACTTGGTTAAAGATTTCTGATTTTTTCCTCAAACTTAGTAGAAATATATGTACAACAGAATCTCTCACAAACGCTGTTAGTGCAAACTTAGTAGAAATATATGTACAACAGAATCTCTCACACAAATAGGCCTTCAGTTTAAACATATTTTATTAAAGAAATCGTTATGTATAGCTACAGGAGTAAATACATTTGTAAATACGTAATATACAAGTAATTCAAAAAATGTTATTAGGAAACAAGAGCAATGCTCTTATACAAATCCGTCTCCTTCTCTCTTTTTAAATATGCATGGTGATTGCATATATAAACATCATTAAGAGTAGTTGTGGCAATGGAATAACAGCATGGTTAGCTAGGGAAGTACAGTTGATTTACTAGGTTGACTTTACGCATTTATGCAAAACTCTTACCAAGAAATTTTTTAAATAACCATCAATAGATACATATTCAAAAGTTTAATTTATAAAGTCAGCTTTTCATTCAAATTAAATATGTTACTCACTTTAAAAGGTTTTTTTTTGCAGGAGCACAGCCAAAGAATGGTCAGAGAAAATCAGTATGAAGTTAAATACATCTTCAATGGGGGAATCAATGGGTTTTTCAAATTTCATTGAAGTTGTAAGTACACCTATATGGAATTTCCTTACAATAGTTTTGTATGCTTCAATGCTTTTGAAGGTGTTCGTCAGTTTGACCAGAGTTCACAATCAACACTAACAAAATGTATGTAAAAACTAATATGTGGAGTCAGACTTTATCATACATGTGTATTTGGTTCAGGGGGCCACTTCAATCCTTTTGTGGTAACATGGGTAAGGATGGGCAACTGAGACATCTAGTAACCCACCCTTCACATTTTGAATAGTAAAAAATACCTACCTATTAATGCTATCAATAGTTTTTGGCCAAAGAAAGATTTGACAAATATCTGCTGCATTTTTATCAGTGGTTTAAATCACTTCACTAAGAAGTACATATACATGTATCAACATCTGATTAGTTTCAGGTAGTTTTGATTCAATCAAGAATCTTATCATACATGCATATTTCATCCAAATTTCTCGCTTATGCTTGATATTCATGTACAATGTAGCTGCATGTACCTATTCCAGCAGTTCATCTTGAGAACTCTTTAAAGAGTACATGTAAGTGTCTCATCTTTGTTTGTGGTATATATTTTCTCTGTAAAGTTTAGGATACACTCAATTTTTAGTTTGCCTCTATAAAGTAGAGATTTTTGAGTACCCTTGCATCCATTTTCAGAAATGTAATTAATTTGATATTTAGATGCATCTGAAAGAAACTGCCCATGTTCAATTAGATGAAAATGATGAATGAGACATGACCCATACACATTTCATGGTTCAGTGTGCTTTTATACAGTTTTTATACGCCCGTTTACGGGACGTATTATGGTAAACCTCTGTCCGTCCGTCGTCAACATGTCGGACATTAACTCAAAAACGCTTTAACCAATTTGCATAAAACTTTGGTGAATTGTTTATATCTATTGACGTGAGCTCCCTTTCGTTTTTTATAAATTTTAAATTTTAAGTTTCTGAGTTATGGGGTTTTATTCATTAAAAAAGGGGGGATTTTCCAGTTTTCGGACAATAACTCAAAAATGCTGTCAGCAATTCTCATGAAACTTTGGTGAATTGTTTATATCTATTGATGTAAGCTCCCTTTTGATTTACATAAATTTGTAATATGACATTGAGAATTAATTGAACTTTATTTGTTTATAGTCTTGACAACAGATTTACTAAGTATTGCGCAACAGCACAGTGTATTGCACAACAGGAAGAAATCTTTAATTGAATATAAATTCAATTCATATAACCAATTTCAAGTTCTTTGACTACATTTATTCAGAAACCTGTAATATGTCAAATATTTAATTACAATCCAAATTCAGACCTGTATCAAGCTTGAATATTGTGTCCATTTTTGCCCCAACTGTTCAGGGTTGGACCTCTGGGGGCGTATCCAGCTGCGCTCAGCGACGCAGTTTATTAAGCTTTAGTACATTTGCATCTTAGTTCAGTCCTCAGATATTAAGAAATCTACAATCATAAACTTGGACCAATGACGCAAGAATGCATCCAGGGGAATATGACAGCTTGCTATTAAAAGTAATTCAATCTGACCTATATTTTACTCTTCATTGACTTTGATAAAGTATTAGGTTCAGATCTAAAATACTAAGAGTTGGATGAAAGCTTTGATATGAAATAAATTGAGAGGTTTTATTAGTTTTATTTTTTTCAGATCAGCTAATGCAATGGCACATATATTCTCTATGGTTGATATTACATTGAAATTTGCAGATCACAATCAATGATTTTTTTTTCTGTCATTTTCACTATAGTGTTTGTGCCGTTATTACAAAAATGTAATGGATGACAAATTTTGTTTTGACATTCTGTTGTGAATAAATAATTTTGTATAACTTGTTTTTGTTCTTATAGCAATACAATAAGGCAGAAAGTTACATAACATTTGAAAAGAATAATGGAGTTGAACTAGTGAGAGAGATGGCCACACAACTAGAAAAAATGCTTGGAAAGAAAATGGCAGCACTGAAGGTTTGTTATATGGATCTGACCTCTGATGATGGTGGCATAGTTAACAAAAAATCATTACCTTAAAAGTTAAAAAAAAGAAAGATAAACAAATGGTAGCATGTGTTGATTTAAAGCCTAAGGTCAGACCTAGGAGTACATGTAAGTGCTAAGAATAGTTGCCTCTGAGGCAAAAAACATTTAAAAGATTAGCAAATGAAGAAATGAAAAAATCAAAACTAATTACTTTTATAAGTAAAGAAAAACAAAAAAACGCTTGAAAAATGTCTGATGCATTTGATGTTATAGAGAATAATTTCCTATTTATAAAGTACCATATTGTTTTTTTTTGACAAGTCACATCTTTGTCAAATCAGTATTTCGTGGGTTATAATTCATCATTCTAATGTGACATTTAATTCATATAGAACAGGATATTTTGTACTGAAGTTTTGAAGCCTCATTTATTATGATGGAAAATTTATGTTGTTACATGTACCTATAAATGTATATCTTTACAGGATTTAGTTAATGCAGCTGAAACTGCAGTGAGAGATCACAAATGGAGGGAGGATATGAGGGTAAGTTAACAACATATATTTATTGTGAACTGTAGGTACATGTTTTGTAGTTATTATTATATCCTTCACTAGTTATAAAGGTCCGTGTGGAATTTGTGTTTGTCTGAACCTCCTGTTAGATATCTGATTTTCTTTAAATTTAAATGCCTTATAGCATTTTGCACCTCCTCATTTATTGTCCCCCTCAACACATCACGTTGCGGGGGACATAGAAATACTGGGTGTCCGTACGTCCTTCCGTCTGGTCTCACATGTACATTTCTCGCCAGATTTTTATAAAACTTATATCATAGGTTTATATCAGCATTGACTCGGACAAGTTCTAAAGTTAGTGCAGATCAACAATTTTATAAAAGACTTATGCCCCTTGGAAATATTAATTATATGGAAAATTGCATTGTTAGGGCTCTCATTAGTACAATTCTTGCCAGAGTTTTAAGACACTTATATCATAGGTTTATATTAGCAATGTGTTGGACAAGATCGAAATTAAGTGCTGATTAATTGTCCCCTGTGTAATGCGTTGCGGGGGACATGGAAATACCAGGCTTCTGTCCTTCCCTCAGTCTGTTTGTGAGTCCATCCATCCTGCAGGGTTTAAGCTAGGATTTTGAGGGCTTTAGTCACTTTTGCGCGAGATAAAAATCAACATTATTTGGGGTAACAGCAAGGGACCAAGGATGTATTCATATTACTAGCTATACATCTTTGTCAGACTTTGAAAGACAAAGGCATCAATTTACTAGGCAATAATTGCATGATTTGACTGATGTGTCACTAAAATATGAAGATTAGAATATAAGATCTGAAAATCTAGTTCAAAATTATACTGCAATTAGTTTCAGGGGGCATTCCTGATCAACAAAAGTTTGGGTTCCTTTTCTTAAAACCAGGAATCACAGTATAAATGAACTTGTTGAACTTTGTGAGACTATTACACTGCATAATCATTATCCTTATAAAACGTTAAAATCGATATTTTGGATTAATTTCTATAAAGTTGGGACCATGGATTTGTACAAATTCACATGGAACGATTCTAATAACTGTAAATTGTAAATTAATCGAGAATAGGTTACAAGAGCGTAATTATTCGTAATGCATTTTCCATAGGGTACCACTGGTGTTCCGTATTTTTTTTCTCAAAGACTACACAAACTAGGGAAAAACGGATTGCAGTTCCTGTTACAAGAAATGCCAGTGTTGCATTACAACCAAAAAAATATATAGGGTCATGTGGCAGAAATTGACTTAAAATGCAGTTGAAAAAGATCGTCTATTTTTTTCGCTTAATGAAAAAGGCATATTTTTAATGGCTCCGACGTGCAGAAATGGAGGATATTTTCTATACTTCGTATAATGTGAATATGATTTTTTGCAATTTTTAAACCTAATTGGATAAGCTTTCGATTAAATGTAATTCCAATCCTGTATCATCCAATCAGAAGCCGTATAGGATTCTATTCTGAGTACCATCTTGGGGTAAAAAACTTGCCGGTAAAATGTAAACAAATAATTGCGCTCTTGTAACCAATAAATCACGTTTACTTTCGATTTTCAAATGAAATGTAACCGGAAGTGACAAGTAGATAATAAATTCAGAATGAATCCGGATTCATCTACGGATTGGTTCGTGTTTAAAAGAACTTTAGAAGGCAGGAAATTATCATTTTCTTATTTCAATTTGCTTAGTAAGAACTATATTTGTCTCTCTCATTTATTTTGGCACTAAATCTATTTCGTATTTTACGTTTTAGTGTCTATAGGAATACTTTCACGCATGCGCAGTATATCGTAAAAGAAGCACCTGTTTGACTCGTTGATGATGATGGAAGTTTTTAACGTGAAAACATTTCTGAACGTTTTGAATAAAGTTCTATCTTTTTAATCGAAATTGAAAGTTTTATATAAAAAATGACGAAAATACGACCATTTGACGAAACTACGTATTGAAATTAAAAAGCGAACTGTCCGGGGGAAAACAATTTTGTTCAAATGACGAAACTACGACAAACGAACTGCAAATTGTGGTCGTTGGCCTTGGGAAATATTGAAATTAAAATGCAGACTGACTAACTTTACTGGGGAAAATAATTAACCGGATTACTGACCCATCCGATGCCGATAAGCGGATTAGCTGTAATCACAACTTTATAACACCTGTTGTAAATGTTAATTAGCTGAGGGCCATAAACTTGTCAGAAACATGTAGACAGGTAGAATTATAGCATTTTCATGCGAAAATATTTTTACACTTTCCAAATTTAAGTGACGAAATTGATTTGAAATACTTTCGTCATTTTGAAAACAGTTTCGTAAATTACGAAAGTGACGAGCGCTAGCAAAATCACTGCATCCTGTCTTGGGAGCGCTCTCACGTGTACAATTCTCAAATTTTTAAGAAACTTATACCTTAGGTTTATATCAGCAATGTCTTGGACAAGTTCGAAAATCAGTGCCAATCAATTACTTTTAAAAGAGTTATGCCCCTTGAAAAAATAAATCGCATGGAGAATTGCATTGTTAGCGCTCTCATATGTACAATTCTAGCCAGAATTTTATGAAACTTAAATCATAGGTTTATATTAGTAATGTCTTGGATGAATATTAAAATCAGTGCCGATCAATAATTTTTAAAAGAGTTATGCCCCTTGGAAATATTAATTATATGGAAAATTGCCTTATGAGCACTCTCATGTGTACAATTCTTGCCAGATTTTTATGAAATTTATATTATAGGTTTATTTCATCAATGTACTTGAAGAGTTCAAAAATCAGTGCCGATCAATTATTTTTTAAAAGAGTTATGCCCTTGAAAATATTGATTATATGGAAAATTGCAATGTTATCGCTCTCATGTATTAAATTCTTGCTAGAATTTTTTTAAACTTATATCATTGGTTTATATCAGCAATGTCTTTGACACTTTCGAAAATAAGTTATGCCCCTTGGAAATATAAATTATAATGGAAATCACATTGCATTTGCTCTGAAGCCTTCATTTCTCTTAAGATATTAACAAAAAGTTTTAAAGTTTAGTTATTGCCCTTGTACCTTGGATAGATAAAATACGTGCAATGTGGGGAAGCTACATCATAAAATATACTGTTTACTAATGTACTTATTATTTTCACAAGTGAATTATTGAAATGACTTTTCCACAAGTAGAATAATAAAAGGAGTATATCAAGCTTGTATCTTCCCTTGCATGAACACACCAACAAAGCAGCTGGGGTGGGGTGGGGAAGGATCCTCAATAATAAGTTGGTTTACACTATATCCCAGATAAAACCTGTACACATCTCAACATCTGGTGACTCGCACGTCAGTAAGGTGGAATAAATATATTCCATTCTTTAAATTTTGAGATAACAAGGTTCACTATTTGATGTTAGTTTATTGAATAGTATATTTGTAACTTAAATTCTAATGTTTTAGTTTAGTAAATAGTATATTAGTAATGTAAATTCTAATTTTAGATTGGTGATGTGCAATATTGGGATGCCAAGAACCACAGTCAACTGAATGATATTCTTTCATACAATGAACGATTCCTACAATCTATCAATGAATCTGTATCAACAGTTCACATTCCAGTAGAAATTTACAATGGAAGTAAGTTGAAAAAATCTTTACGTTAGGGCTGTTTTAGATGAGAGCTCATTTTTGTCGAGCCTTCGACTTTAGTCGAAAAAGCGAGACATAGCGATCCTACATTCCGTCGGCGTCGTCGTCGTCGTTGTCGTTGGCGGCGTCCACAAATATTCACTCTGTGGTTAAAGTTTTTGAAATTTTAATAACATTCTTAAACTATCCTGGATTTCTACCAAACTTGGACAGAAGCTTGTTTATGATCATAAGATAGTATCCAGAAGTAAATTTTGTAAAAATAAAATTCCATTTTTTCCGTATTTTACTTATAAATGGACTTAGTTTTTCTGCCGGGAAATATAACATTCACTCTGTGGTTAAAGTTTTTAAAATTTTAATAACTTTCTTAAACTATCCTGGATTTGTACTAAACTTGGACAGAAGCTTGTTTATGATCATAAGATAGTATCCAGAAGTAAATTTTGTAAAAAAAAAAAATCCATTTTTTCCTTATTTTACTTTTAAATGGACTTAGATTTTCTGCCAGGAAACAACACATTCACTCTGTGGTTAAAGTTTTTAAAATTTTAATAACTTTCTTATACTATTTTGGATTTGTACCAAACTTGGACAGAAGCTTGTTTATGATCAAAAGCTAGTATCTTGAAGGAAATTTTGTAAAAAAAATAAATCCATTTTTTTCCTTATTTTACTTTTAAATGGACTTAGATTTTCTGCCAGGAAACAACACATTCACTCTGTGGTTAAAGTTTGTAAATTTTAATAACTTTCTTATACTATTTTGGATTTGTACCAAACTTGGACAGAAGCTTGTTTTATGATCAAATGCTAGTATCTAGAAGTAAATTTTGTTTTCTTCCAGTTAACATTACATTCAGTCTGCAGTTAAAGCTTTTAAACATTTATTAGATTCATAAACTATCCTGGATTTTTACCAAACTTGGACAGAAGCTTCTTACAATCAAAAGATAGTATCAAGAGGAATATTTTTATTGATTTACTTCCTCATTTTTGTTGAGCCTGCGATTAACAGAAAAAGTAGGCGACACACTGGGTTCCGCGGAACCCTTACGAATTTTTTTGTGTAAAAAGGATTAGTATCGTAAATTTTTTACACATGAACACAGCAAAATCCAAACTTAATTATGCAACAGCATATCTTCATCATGGAATTCACTGAAACACTTTATTTATTGTGATGCCCGACATAAAACTGAAACACTTGGAATATTGTGAAACTTGGACATAAGCTTCTTGAAGATTAAAAAAAACAGCATCTGAAGAAAAATTTCCAATAAAAAAAAAATTCCTTATTTTACTGACAAATGGACATAGTTTTTGGCTGTTAACATTACACTTTTACTCTGACAGCAGCAATAGTAGGTTCCTACTGAACCCTTTATGTTTATTTTGAATATGATAACGTGTAAAAGTAGTGAAAAAATATATTATTAATGGTTATAGATAAATAAAGTGTTGTGTGGTTTACTACATCTGTCATATGCTATTTATAGATATTGACATATTAAATGGTCTAAAGTGGTCCAATGATTTAGACCAGGCATTCCTCAAGAACTATGAAAATGATCCTGACATCCTGTGGCAGTACTTTGGTAGTCAGACAGGGTTTATGAGAACATTTCCAGGTAAGTTGCTGTCTTTATTCAAATGGGTTATATACTTTTCGGAGTTGTAAAGAAGATTCTTTCACAAATACAGTTTTATTTCTTTTGTAACTTATTATCAGCTCTCTTAAACAATATTGGGTAAAGGACAGTTGCCTTTGATATTTTTGTTGGTCTCTGTACTCCATTAATTGGTCTTTGATTTAAAAAAAACTTTTATGATCCTTGATGAAAGGAAATGAGAGAAGTGTAGTAAACAACAAATTCATATTTTAATTTCATTTTACTAATTAATAAAACTCTTTCTGCTAAAGGGATTTTAATGGAATATTTATTTGGAAGTTTACTGGTATGTTTATATAATTGATAAAAAAGTAAAAATAGGGTAACTTATGGCAGTGATATTGCCTTAACAACAATATTCAACAACAATAAATTGTTTAATCAGATGAATAAATTCAGTCCTCTTATTCTGTTGATTGAACAAACACAATATCAAAAAAGTGAATCAGATGCAAATGGGATAGTCTTAGTGTGCTTTATGTTGAACATTCTTCAAAAATTTGGATAATAACTAACCTCCAAATACAAAATAGGCTATGAAACTTATGAAAGTATGTTAAGATGTTATTATGAATACAACAATAGTTAATGTTCTGGTTTTTATTTTCACAGGAAGTAAATGGAGCATAAAACATAATGATGTTGATCTGTTTGATGTCAGAAGAAGACCATGGTTAGTGCATTATTGCTGGAAACTTAAATAAAAAAAGTTGTTAATTATTTTTCTCATTTTTTTTATTAATATTGAGTAAAATATTTTTTTTATATACAGTTAGTAAATATTGTATCTTGCATAAAATCTTGCTTAACATACAGAATGATTGAAGTTGTGTATATAGTATTGTAAACATTCAGTCAACACGTATGAAGATGACACTGTAAGTTAAATATTTCTATATGATTATAAATATGACCATTATTTATTATCCTTGTAAACTTATGAACAGCAAGATGAAAAATTGATTTTAAGAGGTGTTGCATGTTTCATGAACAATATTTTAAAAAACTAGGAAAAAAATTTAAGGAATGGCAATTATATATATGTAATTTTTAGACAACAGAGAAAGGCTATATAAATAATTTTTTTATAGGTATACACAAGGCTCTAGCTCACCAAAAGATATGTTAATTCTCATAGATACGTAAGTAAAACAACTTTTCAACATTCCATCACTTGGAACTACTCCAAATAACTAAACGATTTTTAGTCCCCTACCGACGAAGTCGAAGTGGACTTTAGGTTTGCACTCCGTCTGTCTGTCTGTCAGTCCTGCAAATCAGTTTTCCGCACTTTTTTTCGTCATGCTTGAAGATATTGATTTGATAATTGTTATATAGTTTTATCACAACAAGTTACAGATCAAGTACGAATTTTGTTCCGGTCTGATGATTTTGTGCAGAGTTATTGTCCTTGGACTTAGAAAATTCACTCAAATTATCAGTTTTCCTCACTTTTTTTCGTCATGCATGAAGATATTGATTTATAGTTTTATCATGACAAGTTACAGATCAAGTTCGAATTTTGTTTCGGTCTGATGCTTTTGTGCAGAGTTATGGTCCTTGGACTTAAAAAATTCACTCAAATAATCAGTTTTCCTCACTTTTTTTCGTCATGCTTGAAGATATTGATTTGGTAATTGGTATAGAGTTTTATCTTGGCAAGTTACAGATCAAGTTTGAATTTCTGTTCTGATGATTTTGTGCAGAGCTATGGTCCTTGGACAGAAAATTCACTTAAATAATAAGTTTTCTAAACTTTTTTTCGTCATTCTTGAAGATATTGACTTGATATTTATTATATAGTTTACACCATGACAAGTTATAGATCAAGTTAGCATATTGTTACAGTACAATGAATTTTTAAGCGGTAGGGGACTATGTATTGCCATGCAATACTCTCAGAATGCTTGTTATATATTTGATGTGCTACGACAAAAGACAGTGGAGAAAACTAAAGAGAGTTGAATAAGTAATATTATAAGACTTCACTTTAGTTTTTGTTGCTTTCAATTTCTAGAAAAGCTGCCTTTTTTTGCAGTATTTTGTAAAAATTAATGTAAAGAAAACAGCTTTCAAATCAGCTAGAAGTCCAAGGCAGAAGCATTTTTTTTTATATTAAAAGTGTTCATTGACACAATTTTTGGCTTGAAAATGGCTGTGACAAAATACTAAAAACTATGGTGTTTAAAGCTTCAGTTTAGACTGAAAATACTTTTACCTGTTATATTTTTAGTTTTAAGAAAAAGATTTAGATAAATGATAATATACAAAAGAAACCCAAAACATCCTGTCAGAGGTAAAGAAGAGGTTTATGAAAAATAGATTATTGATTGGACAATTTTTTATACGACCGCAAAAAAATTTTTGTGGTCGTATATTGGTATGACGTTGGCGTCTTCGTCGTCGTCGTCGTCGTCGTCGTCCGAAGACACATTGGTTTTCGCACTCTAACTTTAGTTTAAGTGAATGGATCTCTATGAAATTTTACCACAAGGTTCAATACCACAAAAGGAAGGTTGGGATTGATTTTGGGGGTTATGGTACCAACAGTAAAGGAAAAAGGGGCCAAAAATAAGCATTTTTGTAACTTCCAGACATAACTTGTGTGTAAGTGTATGGATCTCTCTGACATTGTACCACAAGGTTCCATATCACAAAAGGAATGCTGGGATTGATTTTGGGGGTAATTGCCTCAAAATTTTAGGAATTAGGGGCCAAAAAAGGGGCAAAAAACAAGCATTTTTCTAGTTTCATGACAATAACTTGTGTGTAAGAGTAGGAATCTTTCTGAAATTGTACTACAAGGTTCCATATCACAAAGGGAAAGCTGGAATTGAGTTTGGGGGTAATTGCCGAAACGTTTAGGAATTGGGGGCCAAAAAGGGGCCAAAAATAAGCATTTTTCTAGTTTCCAGACAATAACTTGTGTTCAAGTGTATGGATCTCTCTGAAATTGTACTGCAAGGTACCATACCACAAAGGGAAGGCTGGGATTGATGATGGGGGTAATTGCCTCAATATTTTAGGAATTAGGGGCAAAAAAGGGGCAAAAAACAAGCATTTTTCTAGTTTCAGGACAATAACTTGTGTGTAAGTGTAGGAATCTTTCTGAAATTGTACTACAAGGTTCCATATCACAAAGGGAAAGCTAGGTTTGAGTTTGGGGGTAATTGCCCTAAACGTTTAGGAATTTGGGGCCAAAAAGGGGCCAAAAAACACATTTTTATACGACCGCAAAAAAATTTTGTGGTCGTATATTGGTATGACGTTGGCGTCGTCGTCCGGCGTCGTCGTCGTCGTCCGGCGTCGTCGTCCGAATACATATTGGTTTTCGCACTCTAACTTTAGTTTAAGTGAATGGATCTTTTTGAAATTTGACCATAAAGTTAAATACCACAAAAGGAAGGTTGGGATTGATTTTGGGGGTTATGGTACCAACAGTTAAGGAATTAGGGGCCAAAAAGGGGCCAAAAATGAGCATTTTCTAGTTTCCAGACAATAACTGTGGAACGGTGTATGGATCTCTCTGAAATTATACTACAAGTTTCCATACCACAAAGGGATGGTTAGGATTTGCTTTGGGGGGTTATGGCTCAAACCGTTTAGGAATTACGGGCAAAAAAGGGGGGAAAACAAGGTTGTCCTGGTTAATGGACAAATACTTTAGTACAAAACATAATTTAAAGCAGTGTAAGGGAGATAAATCAAATACATCATTGAAATTATCTCCCTTACACTGCTTTTAAATTATGTATAAAGTAATGGTTAATGAACAATAAAGATAATCTAAAACAGTGTAAGGGAGGTAATCCAAATACAACGTTTTGGTTACTTCCCTTACACTGCTTTTAAATTATGTTTAAAGAAATGCATATTTATAAAGGAAGACCAGTAAAAATATCTGCAAATGTTTTTATCTTTTTTTTTTACAAAAAAATCCATATGAAAGATTTGACACTATATTTTTATTAATTCTATTATAAAATAGATTAAGTTAGCACTATGGTAAATTTAAATGGGTAATTATGGTTGCCAACTCCATTGGAAATTTGAATTGAGATTATGACCATATCTTGAGGGAAAGAATTTTTTTGGGGGAAAAAGGGGGGGGGGGATAAAAAGAAATTGTGGGGGGCCAATTTTTTCTCATTTCAGATTTCAGAAATTAAAAAGAATTATTCTTCAAATATTATTTTTTTTTCAAATTTCAAATATTGAAAAATTTCAAGAAGTAATCTTTAATTGCACAGTATGGCGCATTAGATTTGTAAAATCTTTGATCACATTTATTTATTTGTTATGCCGAATCTAACAGTGTATTTAGATTTTTTATTTTGGGTCCAGTTTTCAAATTGGTCTACATTAATGTCCAAAGGGTCCAAAATTAAACTTTGTTTGATTTTAGCAAAAATTGAATATATGAGGTTCTTTGATATGCTGAATCTAAACATGTATTTAGATTTTTGATTTTTGGCCCAGTTTTCAAGTTGGTCCAAATTGGGGTCCAAAATTAAACTTTGTTTGATTTCAACAAAAATTGAATATATGGGGTTCTTTGATATGCTGAATCTAACCATGTATTTAGATTTTTTATTTGTGGACCCCGTTATCTAATTGGTTCATATTGAGGTCAAAAGGGTCCAAAATTAAACTTTGTTTGATTTCATCTAAAATTGAATTATTGGGGTTCTTTGATATTCCAAATCTAACCGTGTATTTAGGTTTTTAATTTTGGGTCCTGTTTTTTAAATTGGTCTGCATTGAGGTCCAAAGGGTCCAAAATTAAACTTAGTTTGATTTTGACAAAAATTTAATTCTTGCGGTTCTTTGATTTGCTGAATCTAAACATGTGTTTAGATTTTTGATTATGGGCCCAGTTTTCAAGTTGGTCCAAGATAGGGTCCAGTATTTAAACTTTGTTTGATTTCAACAAAAATTGAATATATGGGGTTCTTTGATATGCTGAATCTAAACATGTATTTAGATTTTTGATTATGGGCCCAGTTTTCAAGTTGGTCCAAATTGGGGTCCAAAATTAAACTTTGTTTGATTTCAACAAAAATTGAATATATGAGGTTCTTTGATATGCTGAATCTAACCATGTATTTAGATTTTTTATTTGTAGGCCCCGCTATCAAATGGGTTCATATTGAGGTCAAAAGGGTCCAAAATTAAACTTTGTTTGATTTCATCGAAAATTGAATTATTGGGGTTCTTTGATATGCCAAATCTAACCGTGTTTTTAGATTTTTAATTTGGGTTCCGTTTTTAAAGGCAGTGCTTTAATGCCTTTCTAGTTGCCGTGTTAATATTTTTTTCCGCGATATCCAACTTATCTACGTGGGGGGTCATTTAGCTCCAAGTAGATCCGGAAAATGTTGATTCTCTCCTCTTCTTATTGTGGTATAAAATGTGTTTTGTCTCATTTCATTTACATTGGGAAATAGAGAAACGATCATTGTGTTTTGTTAGTTTTAAAAACTTTTGATATATTTGTATTTTACATTATAAGCAGTCAACCGATTGACAAACTAGAATTATTTGAATTCCGTGTGGAAAGAAGTCGGGTTAATTTCGAGTGTTATCTGCAATCTAGATGTTTATAAATCATTTCAGTCGTTGATATAATAATTAAAGGTCGACTGAACATGAATTATATTATACAATTAAAAGCGCATTTCTGTTTATGCACGCGAACCCGTCTAACGTTATAGTTATTTCGCAGTTATATAAAGTAGCAAATTATCGTTCCTGAATAGGTGGCGCCGTGGTAGCCGATCCTGTACTTCCACTTCCGGTTTCTGCACTGTGCATTAATTAACGATGCCAAGTACTTGTTGTTGTGTACTTGGATGTCATTTAAGAGGAGGACATGCATTTCCAAATGACTTAAAAAGAAGGAAAAGTTGGATCAACGCCATGGCCCATACGCAGATTGGACGAGAACACGATGAAATCGTGGAGTCCATTTCAATCAGCTGTTGTTTGCAAGGCACATTTTACTGAAAAAGACTACGTGCAGGAAACTATTCATGGTAAAACTCTATTTTCTTTTTAAAATATATAGTTATATATGTAATCGCCATGCGAATAAACCAAAGTCAGTTTACAACCGCAATTATCGTTTTAGAATAAAAGGGGG